ATAATCAAGCGAAGCCTGCATGTTCATTATATCATTGAAACGTCCGGGCTGGCAAACACCCCATCAGGACTACATGAGTTATTTTACGAGGGCAGGGCTGAAAAGCAAATGAACCTGCACCCTGACCGTCCAAGGAAGATCATTGTGGCTTTGTAGATGTTCGCCTCAAACATAAGACACCGTGTTGTCATCGCTCATCCTGGCAAACACGCCGAGCGCGGCTTCACCACCAGCCACCGAGGGACCCCGAACGATAATCTGGAAATTTTCAGTAAGAGAAACCGGCGAAGGATGATGTGAAGAGCAACTGACCTGTCCCTGAGACACCTCGTCCGTCGTCTTCAGATCCGCCGTATCGCGGAGAAGAATCTCGGTGCTCGTGACGGGCGGGCCAAAGTGAGAGCGCTGGCTGTCCTGGCCGTGCACCCTGTAATCATAGTACCCTGTCTGCGTGACAGCACCGGCAACCTTGGAGGCTGTCAGCGCGTAGATGACGCGCGCACCGAGGAAAACGCGAAGATCCGAAAGCTCTCGAGGTGACAGCGGGACAGAATGCGCGCCGACCCTCTCGGCCGTGTACACGACGCGGAGCTTGCCGGGCGTGGTTCCAATGGCGGGGAGGTAAGCGTCACCAAAGCTGGTGGCGACCGATGCGACGGGCATGATGCCGTAGTCCACGAGGCTGCGCGACTTGAGCCAGTAGGACAGCCTGGCCAGGGCCGACGTGAGCTTGCTCGTGGTCTCGTGGTGGGTCTTGAGCAGCGTCTCCGGCGAGGCACAATAACCGTCGGCGCGATGCCTTGCGTTGAGAGGATGAGCTCGGCTGACTTGCCCGCGACCGAGCTGAAGGCGACAGAAGCGTTGAGAAGAGGGCGGCCAGGGTCAGAACAAGAGTGTACGTGTTCGTCAGGGAGTCGACGGGGAGGAAGAGGTCGGAAGGGCCCAGACGCTGAGAGACGGGGAGCGCCGCCAGCTGAGCGGCGATGCCGGCGATCAGGTTGGCTTGCGAGAACCGCACCATCTCCTCCATGGTGCCGGCCCTCGACTGCCAGAAAGTGATGATGTCCGCCGGCTCGTGCTGCCCAGCCACGGGCGGCAGTTCGAGGCCTGCGGCGGCCGGGGCCTCCTGAACAATTTCCTGCCACGTTGCGACGTTGACGGACCCTCCCATGCCCTCGGGTACCTCGTTCCAGTCCATGTGCTTGCTGCCCTCGTCGACAACCCAGATCAGCTGGCGCAGTGATGGGTAGGCCTTGACCACAGCATCGAAGGGGAAGGCGCCGGGCGCAGTGACGACGGTGTCGGCGGCGGAACGGCGCAGCATAGAGATGAGCTCTTCGTCGGAGACGTCGAAGGGGATGAGGATGGCGGTCAGGTTGGAGTAGAAGCTGCATGCAAAGAGCGCAGCAATCAGCTCGATCGAGTTGGGAAGGTAGATGGCCACTCGGATTCCACCCTGCTCGTGAATGTGCTGGCCGATGAGGTTGATCTGGCGCGTCACATCGTCTACGGACGCAGGGTTAGCCTAAGCACCGCGATGATGAGAAAAGCTGCAACGAACCAATATTAGCCTCGATGACTTGACGGGCACCATGGACCGTGAGGAGGCGGCCCTTGCCCGAGGCAGGCTTGCCGTCTTCGTCGGGCGTGCCGCCAGCGGCCCTCCTCCAAATGTCGCGGAGATCACCGTCTCTTCCTCTAGACCACTTCGAGGCCCCAGAGTCCTTGACGTTCAGTCCACTATTGAGAGGCATGCCGTGCGGTGAGGCGTGGGCTCGGTAGACGGGCGACTCGCCCTCTTGTCGAACAGGCGAGCCTTGCGCCTGGCGGGCAAGTAACATTGGATGCGTGTCGGGCTCCTGGCTGGCAGCAATACGATAGGACACAATGATGACCAGGAAGGTCACCATGGCGGTTGTGTAGCTATTCCATTGTCCAAAGAGGCCTGTGACGCTCTGGTCGAGGCTGACCAGAAGGTTGTCGATGGTGCCCATGGCTAGAGAGAGAGGGAGAGAGAGTTGGGTCGTGTGCCCTCACGGCGGTTCTGTGGAAGAGTCGGGCACAAAGGCGAAATCGAGGTAGAGGTCAAGGACAAAACCAAGTTTGTACACTGCTGTCTCAGTGACTGCTTCGTGTTCCTAGCAGCTGCGGGACGGACCTGCGTCAATAATCATTCCAGTCGACGAGGGGCAACTGGGGCTTTGTATGTCGGGGAGGTGGTGGGCGTCGGGAATCGGGCGATGTACCGTTACGTTTCGAGGTGGGCTGTGGACGCCAGCTCCCTCCCTCCCGCCGTCGGAGCTGTCTGTGGCTGATGCTATTGTTCACCCAGTCAGACGTGGCAGACGGGCAATAACGCCCCGCACTACCGCCGCCTGCCCCTGGCGCCTCCAGTTTGCAGGTGCTGACCTCACCTAGGTATCCCCTTAGAGCCCTTGCGGTCAGTAGGTACCTAGGAACCGCACCACACCACCCCTGCAAGCTGCTCGTCCGTGCTGGGCTCCCGCTCCGGAAGCGTAACTGGGGGATTGTTTTCGCGGCGCAACCCCCAATCTCATCACCAACGTCAACAGAACTTCCTGCCCAACATCGCATCTCGACACAGGGAAATCCGGAGCAGCGCCGCGACGACCTCGGCCGCCAGGCTGAAGATTTACTAACCCAATAGGTCCGCCACACTTTCTACCTCAACAACTACCCCGACATTGTCAGTATCACCGCCTGTTCTTGCAGTCGTGGCTAGAAACTCGACTAACCTTTCAGGCAAGCCTTTCCTCACCCGCCTCACCTCCCGATTAATCGATCTTCTCGCCCGCCCACACGACGTCCAGTCCAAAACCTCAGAAACAATGTCAACGCCCATGATGAGCAGGGTGGCTACCAGAACCCCCGCCAAGTCGACACCCCAGACTCAAAACGCTGCGCCCGTCGTCGACAGTCCCGGCACCTGGAGACACCCACGGATTGACGAGATCTCCAGGCGGCGCAACCGGACAACATTCTCGGAGAAGAACGTCAGAAAAGTCGCTCAGAATGTGACTTTCTTCGTCGCTCTCTGGGTAGCCCAAGCGTTGGTCCAGCGCTACATCAGCCACAAGCTGTACGTGTTCCGCCCGGCCAAGAACCCAAGCCGTCCGCATACTAATCCATCTGCAGAGTGTCAGAGTCGACGAGGTCGATCCTTGGCTGGGCCTACTTGGTCCTGAAGACCATTCCAATCGCCAACTCCGTCACCGCCTTGCTTCCACTGTTCCGTACGACTGACGACCTCAGCGATATCCCCCTCTCCGCCGCCCAGCGCCAGCTCCTCGGACTGCCCCCTGGACCGAAGGTCGCCACGCCTGACGCCGTCTTCAGCACGCCGCCGCGCTACTCGAGACCCCGTCACTTGCAGGTTCGCCAGCGAGCAACCGCAGCTATGCGAGCTCCGCCGCTGTCTGGGCGTGGCAGCCCGGCCTTCGGAGGCAACCTCAACGGCTCGCCCTTCTCGCCGGCCAGCAGCCCTTCCAAGTTCGCCAGTGGGCTTAACGACAACCGCCGCTCCTCTTTCGGGTCTCCTAGCCCTCTGCCTTCCAGCGGCTCCTCTGGCCTCTTCGCCGACCCCACATCGCCCAGCCCTTCGACAGGCAAGCGCACAAGTGTCGGACTCAACAACAAGTGGCTGTACGAGCGAGGAAAGGCGGTCCTCGACGTCGCTTAGGTGACCGGCGCGAGCAAACGGCGATGTTGCTTCAGGATGATCAATGACAGACGGCGATGAACTCGGCTTGACGAAGGGCACGCTGTCACTGCTTTAGGTATATAATGATTGGTGATTCATGCACCAGCTGCGACGTCAAAGCGGACAGCCATGAGCCGGGAACACAGTGTAATAGATATGTAAGTATTCTGAAATCATGTCTGGTATGATGCTGCTTTGGGGCGAATGATCATGAATGTGCTACTCCGTAGGGTGTTGCAGCGTGAAGTGGAGTTACCATGAGGACACTGGTTTATCGGGTCTAGAACCTCATGCTTTACATGTGCAACAATGCTTTCTATCTGGTCTGTATGATTACAGTTAGGGACAAAGTTATGGAATGGCTTGAAAACTCTGGCGGCTCTATGAAATGCAAGAGTCTGAACCTGCTATCACCAGTAGTTTTGAGTAGCATTGGTGCAAGAAAATTTCAGCGGTGCCCAGTGCTGGACGGTCGTCTGTCGTGATGTCGTTGGTCGCCACGATGCATTCGAGCCTGAACTCCGCCAATTGTCGTTCTCGGTCCAGGTTGACTCGCAGGGTGACGATGGTGTCCATTTCGTGAGGCTCGTCCGGCGAATATCGGGGTGATGTCCCTCCCTGCAACATGATCGAGGTTGATGATTTGTCTCGCACAATGAAATCATCGGCAATAATAGTGCCTGCGTTTCGCAACGTCAGACATACCGAGATGGGGGAGGATGTGTGATTGAGGTTGTCCCTTACCGATGTTGAAATCGCTGTGGCTGATTTGCTCTTCCTCCCACAAGTCGGTCGAGTTCGCATCGCTCTTGCGGAACTTTTTCATGAGATTGCGCTGAATCCGAAATGCTGAGACGTCAGTAAGCCATTGTCATCCATCTTTCGCAAGTTGTTGCTTCTCGCAGAATGGACGAGTAACTGATTCATACCGTATCGACCAAACACTCCCCCAGCGAATTGCTCTAACAAGGCTGTCCCTCCAGAAAGCCCGTTTTGCAGCAATTCGGGCTCGATGTCCTGGAAAGCAACCTCCCGGACACAACTGTCGCCAAACCGGGGCTTTCCCGCGAGACGCAGGGGCTCCAGGCTCGGGTGATGCAGCACAGGGTGGGATCTACAGTCAAACGCCTCAAAGTATGTCGGCTTGGTCCATTGCTGAAGACCAACAAAGCACGCGCCAACGCCCGCCGATGTGGTTAACGCAAGTGAAACGAGGTGGTCCGCAGTCCGCGCTACGAAGAAAGGACATGGCGAAGGAAAAGACAAAATGGCAAGGCAGAAATGTTGGTTCGGATTCCTACAATGAACTGCGGTCAGCTTCATAATAAGGCCCTGGATGTTCTCCAAGAGCCGAGACGACTCGGAGCTTTGATGGTGTGATGCCCACGTCCACTCATGAGGGTCCATACCGCGTCAAATTTTGGCTCAGAAAGCGCGATGGTGGACTTCGTGAGTTCCTTCCCAAGTAGAAACTCGTGAATAGGACATTACTTCGGGCGATCCAGACCTCGAACCATGAGGTCCATCGAGACATTCCACAGATTACCCCTGATGGGAAACCAATGCTGGGCAGGCCTGAGACTCAGCAGGTTATGTCGTTTGCTTACTAAGTGGGCGAGGTGAAGCATGAGCGACATGGGAGCAGGCAGTTGAAGCACAGCCTTACGTAACCCCACGGCCCAAGCAAGCTCCATCTGGGGACGGATGCCCATGCGACCTCCAGGTCATCCACTACACCAAACGACACCGTACCTCACTGATAAGGACTTGGTCTAGATTCCACCCGCCCGCCAAACCACGACCCGCCAGCTCAACTTCCAGCCCGCTGCAACTTCTCTGTACGAGCACCATCCAAGAAGACACTGGGTTTGACCCGGTTGTCATGATAACGACTCGACAACATGGGCGCCAGCGATTCGAAGCTCGTCTTCAAGAAAGGCATCTTTAGGCTCTCCGAAGAACGACACATACCCGCGGACGACCCGTACTGGACTTCAGTGGGTGCCCGTGGAAGCGCTCTCAAGATCTGAGCCGTGCTGACTCTCTAATCAGTTCTGGGAGCTACCAGAAACCGCCGAGGATGTCTTCAGCCTCTTCTCCCCGGCCGACATTCGCCGGACACGAGACAATGCTCTGGAGAACCTCGAAACGTTGATCCTCGTTGTGACATCTCGACTTTTCATCCTGCGGCACCATCCTTCATTCCCCGATCCCGAAATCGCTCCGGAGCGAGACGCCCTCAACTGCATACGAGTCCTCACGCGCATCCTGCCTTTCCTCTACGAGGCCGAGTCCTTGAGTTCGTGGGAGGAAACCTTCTTCTGGGGCGCACGTCGCAAGCGGACGCGCAAGTCATCTCTTGCCGCCGAGGTATTGTTCGATGAGGCGCAGGAGGAGCAAATGCCAATCAAGAAAGAGCCAGAGGAGGATTTTGAGGATGCGAAGCCCCTCGCCGAGGAGCTTTTGGATACCCTGGTCGACCTCCTCTTCTTCTCCGATTTGACGGTGCCCAGGCAGCCGCACGGAAAGCCCAAGGTCTCGTATGCCATTTGGCAGAGTGGCGTCGGATGCAACACGGCAGTGCCGACGACAAAGGAGCATGAGAGCAACAGGTGCGAGATTCTGCGCCTGATCCTCACTCTGGCCGGCCAGAGTATGTACATGACACCCAGCGCGCTGCCTAAGCACGGCGTACGGGCATTGACACATCTGTGCTCCTGCCCGGACAAGCAGGCCGTCCTGTCGGTGCTGTGTTCGCTTCTCAATACTGTAAGGCGTGCCTATAGTCCAGCTCTGTGACATGACGCTGACTTTGACAGACGCTGAAGTGGAACCCAGCCACGTGGAGGGTGCCTTACAATACGTTGGTGTTCAGGGACGAGAAGTCCATTCTGGTGACCTACACACTGCAGCTTCTGCTTGTTTTAGTTCTCTACCCGATTCCAGAAGGGAGTGGTGTCGAGAGCCAGAAAAACTATTTCCGCCACTTCCTGGGCAGGTTGCATCGCCCACAAGACTTCCAGTTCATTGTTGATGGCATGACCCGAATTCTCAACCAGCCTTTGCAGGAGAGAAGCTCTTATATCCCGTCAACACAGTCGCCCGCCAAATTTGCGCCTGAGATGATGATGCTGTTTTGGGAAATCACACAATGCAACAAGAGGTTCCGTTCTTTCATCGTCGACACGGAGAGGGCCCATGACTTTGTCATCCTGACACTCTTTTATGCTCTCGAGTACAAGTCTGATGCCTCGAAGCAAGGTGTCGTGCGCATGTGCGCCTTTTTGCTTCAGACCATCAGTGTGGAGAGAAACTTTGGTGTGAACCTGAACAAGGACTTCACCGGGCAGGACAGCCTGCCACCGGCAATACGGCTCCCTGGGTTCAGGGGTACATATGCCGACTTCCTCGTCCAAGTAAGGAGACCTTCCGGCACCGTGCCATAGCCATCAAAGCTGACCCCATTGCAGTCCATCTACAACCTTATCACGACCAGCCAGGGCAAACTAACGGCGATTTACCCGGCCCTACTTGCCGTCATCAACAATATCGCAGCTCACCTGGAGGGTATCAGTCACATCACCGCATCCAAACTGCTGCAGCTCTTTTCCTCCATGTCTTCTCCATCGTCCTTCTTGCCAATGATACAAACCATGCTCTTCTCAGGTCTCTCCTGGAATCCATCAACTCTATCATCGAGCATCAGTACAAGAGTGAGTGTTTCCCCGGATCGGCCTGATGCCGCTAGGCGCTTGTCTCTCTACATTGTAGAGATGTGACTGACGCTGTAGCAG